TAGCAAAAGCCTTCCACTGCATATGGTTAGATTGCAATTTTTCAATAGTTGTAGCATGGGCAAATCAAACCCAATTTCCTGCAATACAAAGCCCTGCACTGCTCCCCAATGAGGGCTATTTTCCTGCCAAATTGCATCTTTCAAACCACAGCCAATTCAGCTGTAGAGTTGCCAAGGAAAAAAGGTCAGAAAGATTTAAAAAAAAAAATAAAAATTCCTCCTCTTTATCGTATTCAAAAGCAGCTCTCCTAATTCTGCCTAAACTTTCAAAACAAGGGAAAAATTGCAGTGGGGTAGGTGCTGATTATAGGCAGTTTCAGCCCAAAGGACAAAAATCTGCAAACATATTTAGAGTACCTGAAAATAACAAATTTCTAATGTGGTCAGTGCTGGAAACACTTTCCATCTACTTTGGTTTGTATGAAGAGTTGCTCCAGTGAAGCCAGTGGAATTATGCAGGATCGGGACCCTCCTTACTGCAGCAATCACTGCCACCTGTGCAATATTTTACATACACCCCCTTTATTTGAAAGACTCTACCACGAGTACCTGCTTAGCAACATACTTTATGAGATAAGCATGCAGTAAATGGGAAGATGGGAAAAGCATCTCTCCTTTTCTGTACAGGAGAAAAAGACTGGCCTGGAAGGTGATTTGAACAAACAATAAAATATGTAGAAAGAGCAGAGTAATGGAAGATTTTAAGTACCCAGGCAGAGAGTGGAGGACATTAGGGAGAGAATGCTAGCTGGGAGCTTGTTTATGGAATTGGCATAAGATTGCATTTTAACTTACTACGTGTATCAGCTGAAAAGGGAGAGAGCTAAGTGACTTGTATTAAGTGCTGGGCTAGATTGAAGGTGATGGGAGACAAGATGTAATCCCAGGGAAAATATTCTGCCAACCACCCGCGTCCACAGCGGTGGGCTGAGGATAAAGGAAGATTTTGGAGCAGGGAACTTGGAGAACTTGCAAGTGTCTGCTGACAGGTGCTCCAACAGCCAGCACCAAAGTTCAGGGTGATCTGATGAAATCAGATGTAAAGTTTTATAATCTCAGGCACCCAAACAGCTGCAAACACCCGGTTCAAACAGACCGCAGGGGTGTGAAGGCAGCTCGGGTGTGTTCAGGGTTGAGGGCAGGTGAGGGAAGAGCCTCTTCTCGTACAGAAAATGTGAAGTTTATTGTTGGCTGAGGTGGGGGTAGGAAAAAAACGCTCTTGAAAACCACTGAAAGCCCAGCCCAGCCAGCTCTGCAGGCAGTGCAGGCAGAGATGACAGAAGCAGGAAGGGTGATGGAGAAATCCGTGTGGAAATCCGTGTGTGAGTTTGGTGCTGCTGCCTGGGATTTGCTACTGCACCGTGGGGTTTGTTTTTCCAGGCAAGAGTTAGGAACTCGCCTCCCTGCGACAGGTATTCATGTTCCAAATGAAAAAGCCCGGGGAAGTGGAGATTAAAACATTAAAATGCTTCACCACGGTGCTTGAGCAGATAATTAGGCAATTAGTACTATTAAAGGAAGACAAAGCACCTGGCTTGCTGAAGGACATTGCTGGGTCCTGAGGCCAACAGCAAGGGCGAGGAAGGAGCCGCCAGATCTAGAAGAGGTTTTTGGAGGGTTCCCTACACGGTGGCAGTTATTTTGGTATTAAGAGTGCACCGTGATGGTGCCTGCTCTCCTGAGTTGGTCTCCTGAGAAGATCAAGGTAAGGGCACATCAGGGGTAGGTGTAAGTCACCTCCCCTGTGCAGGAGGACATCTGACCTCACGGCAGAGGCTCGCACACTTGCATCAAGGCTGGAAGACAAGGACTTCTCCTAACCACTGGTGGACTGAGGTCAGGAAAGCCTTCTCTAATCTGTTGTGCAAACTCTTGCTGTAATGATCTAGGGGAGGTGACAACAGCAGTTTTGCAGCACGGTGCTGTGAGAGCTGGGGCTGAACCACCAAGCAAGGAAGTCTCTGGCAGTGTTACCCTCCTAACCCGTGTTTGATTGCATTTCTTTCTTGCTCCCTTCTCCTAGCTCACAAATTTTGTTTACTTTTTGACAGCTTCTGCACACCAAGCAGATGTTCTCATTGCATTTTCACATTGATGATGAGCTTTTATTGAGCAGTTACAGTCAATTTAGAAACCATTAATGGACGTGAATAGTTCAGATTGTCCCTTCCAATTTCCATTACTTTGCCTTTTATGCATCAGATTTGTTCAGCCACTGCACTGCCCCATCATGGAACTTGGGGAATTTCCTAACTGAGCTTTCATGACTTGACCATTACATATCGTTTCATACTTATCCACTAATTTTCTTTTCACGGCTCATGCATTGAAATGAATGCTCAGGCATCCGGGCTATTAATAAATACACTTGATAACAATGGTCCTCGTGTGAACCATTAAGACATTGCAGTATTAATAGCCTTTCCTTTTGGAGAAGGACTGTTTATTCTTACCCTTTTCCTTTCTTCAGGCTGAATCTGATCGAATTGTTCATTGTGAGTAATCTCCTGTGAGAATATAGTTCTTATTTCTCTATGAAAATCATGAATTAATTCATCCTGTGAACTTTATGTGAAGACATTCAGCCTTTTGCTTTCACTGTTTGCTCCTTATTACTCACTATTTAGTCTTGGTTCACCTCTATGCTACAGTACAGCTCCTCCTACGTAACTGGATGAGGAACTGATTAAGCAAGGACTGACTGGTGGCCAATAGGCAATATTTTGTTTCTTCTGCCATTGAATCAGCCTTTAGCAAAGATATAGAACTTGGGAGGCCTGTGAACTTTTCTTTGAGTGACCAATAGCTGTCTGCTTGTCACAGAAAGCCAACACGGTGACTCCAGTGCCAAGTCTGGGGCTGCTCTCAGCTTAGCACAGAAAAAGCCTTTCCTATTACCAAACCAGCAATAAATGTACTTTCTTGGACTTGGAAGCCTCTCAGGCAATTTTCTTTTATTTGTAAGCGCTGTGTAAAGCACAATGTCACTGGGTGAGGTCCACCACTATGCAAGAGGCCAGTGGTGCTGGTGGTCTTGGGAACCAATTTTGCCCTTCCCCCTCCCCACTTCTTTATATTTTCCCTACTTCCCACAGCCTGAGTAGAACCAAGAGCACCTCAACACCTCTGAGCCTTCAAACTCTGCAGTCAAAATGCAGCAGTCGCCATTCAAAAGTCAACATCTGGTTCTATATATTTCCATGATTCTCAACAGTCACCCTTCCCAAAAGACACCGCATCACTCACACTGTTTGCTTGCTCGTTGGTAGAACTCATCTCCAACTTCTTCTAACATTATCTCTGCTGGTTATTGAGGATATTTTATGCAAAAGGTCTGGATAAAGCAATCTAGCCCCAGCATGAACAGAGCTCTGTATCTGCTACAGTTCATTTCTTTACACATTGTAACTTAGAACACCGGTTGGTAGGGAATTTATATGCAATCAATAACCTGTAATTTCCTGAACTGCAAAGAAAAAGAAGGTTAACTTAAGAGCATCTTCTATTCACTTGGATTGTTACTGTCTGAGACCCCACAAGGGAAAAGACAAATAAAGAGATAACCTTAATTAACTGCAGGGTAAGCGCTGGGCTTAACGGGCTCAAATTCCTGCAGCTTTTCAGCTCATGTTCATTTAAATTATTATACATCTTTGCACATAAGCGGTAGTTTGGGATGATCAGCATCCTGAGTTAAAATGCCTTTAGGCTCAGAAACCCACCCGTTTTGACCATAGTTCTCACTAAAGCCGATAGGGACGTCAGGGTTGATTCAGCAGGAAGAAGGCTCAGTGCTTGTGTCCCCAAATTATATTACAAGACAAGCCAGCACCTGTGAAAAACAAAGGCAAATCTCCTAGTGATTCCAGGGGGAAGTAATCTAAACACTTATTAGCCAGTATCCTCCTGTGTAGGTTCACCAATCAAAAATCTGTCACAACTAATTGGAAATGTGTATCATCAGCATCATTGTTATTATTATTTTGATTGCACCCAGGAATTTGATTAGAAGACAGCACCTCTGCGTAACAATAAAACAAGGGAAAATAAAATAGGGAGCACAGACAGAAGAGGGAATACAAGCAAACATCCTGGCTTTATTGGTTAATGTGATAGATGGTGGTTACGATGAACCCAGGACCCGTGGGCTGCTGCCAGGGGAAAGGAAAGTCTTCAGGGTGGATTTGCAGAGTGGTATCGAGGTGGTTTGGATGATATTTATGAAGACAACTACCTAAAGCAGACATCTCAGGCAGGTCAGGTGAATCGTGCTAAACAAGGTCTTGCCAGCCAAGGGTGCTCCTGGTGGCTTGCTGAGTTGAACAGGTCCAAGGTGCATCTCCCCAGAAAATGAGACGAATCTCAGACAAGACTTTCTGGGATGGAGAGGTTGATGTGCAGAACATGAGTAGGGAGGGAGGCTGGTCTGGTCTTTGTGGGTGACAAATGGTCAAAGAAGACATCGCCATGGAAATCCTGGGATGGGGGGGTGCAGGCAGGGGCAGTTTTCTGGTCAACATCATGAAAGAGCAATTATGGGGCCAGGAGGAAAATCAGGGTAACAGGGAGATAAGACTTCAAGGAGACGAACATATTCCACCATGGCAACAGAGGGGCTTGATTCGTCCAGAAGGAAAAAAGATTGTGTCCTGCATCAGAAGGAGGAGGTTTTCTGGGTTAGTGAAAGGGATTTTACTGATCAATGTTTCCATTGGTGTTCTTATAATTATTATAAGGTTCCCATCAATGTTCTTATAATTCCTAACCTACAGCTTCCCCTTCTCCTCAACACCCAGCCTCTGGCACAACCATCTGTATCTCTCAATCCCAGTCTGCCCTGGGCCTCTCTGCAGGTGAGGGTCTCATTCAGGCCCAAGAGTTATGTGAAAGAGTAACTTTTGAGAGATTAAAAATGTGGAATCCACTTTCCTCTGGGTTTGAAAATCCCCCTCTTTGTGATAAAAAGGCTTTATATACTGCTTCTAACTTCGCTATTTCAGGGGCTGCAAGTGCAACTGGATCATTTTGAGAACAAAAAAGCACAGAGACAAGAGTGAACAGGAGCTGACTTATTATTTAAAGAATTTCATTTTCATTTTGAGGTAAGTGTAAGTCTAAATTTGCTGTTACGTAACAAACTGCATTTAAAAGCAATTGCTTTTGAAAATACACTATTGAACTTTGAAATTACTGTGATAATGCAGCTTTAGTCTGTGAATGCTCCAGTCTGGGAGGAAGCAAAACAGCAGCCTTTGATGAGGACATGAATTTGTTATGACAGGCTAATTTTACAAATCCATGGCTGCCTTATGGAAGAATTATAAAGATATATATTAAAAAAAAGAAAGCCCAAGAACCAAGAAATGTATCATGTTCACCAGTGAGAAAATGTTCTCGCAGAGTCAACTCCCACAGGTCAGTTCAAGGTAGCATCCAGCCGCCTTTGATAGTGCAGGGACCAAAATGTTGTGTACATTGTGCATGTTTAGACTGATTGGTGACTTCAGTTGCTTGATACGTGCGTGTGTCTGTGGGTGCTGTGATATCAACCGCTTCACGTAAATAGCAAAAGATGGATCTTTGGGGAAAGAACAATGGGGAAAAAAATAAATCAATCTACCAGCCCCCCTCCAAATAAAATCTCAAACAATAGAAATCATGCCTGGAACCTTCCTGCAGCCTGGCTGTGCCTGAGCGGAGCTGACATTGTGAGTTAGCATCAGGATGGCGTAAGTGGTCTCCTAGAAATAATCTCATTGCAGATATCCTCGCTAATCCTCTAGCGGGAAGGGGCAGGAAGGTTTTTCTGCATGGGGCTGGGAGAAAGGTCTGCAGATGAAGTAAATAAAGATGTGGGGGAGCGTGTTTCGAACTGCAGCTTGGAGTTGCAGGGAGAAAAGTGGCTGCCTGGAGAAATGGGGAACAGGAACCCAAATTGAATGGTCCATGCAGGAATGGAGGAGACACCCTGATGGCAGAGCTAAGGGTGCAGGCAGGCTGGGACCCTTGGAGTGACTGCCTTAGGCAGAGTCTCTAGGAAACAGGGACGAGAGAAAGCTGGGGAGCATGCAGGAGAGAGGAGGAATTGTGTGTGGGTGACCTTATTGAGTGCCTCTTGCTCCCACGAAGTTCTTGAGACCAAGGGCTCATCAAAACAGCTCTCAGAACGTTTGCCGAAAGGGCAAGCGGAGCTTTGGGGTTTGAAGAAATCTGCTGTGGACAGGTGCCAAGATGCACTCAACTCTTTGCCACCACTTTTGCGTAGTGCCAGATCATACCGTGGCCCAAGCAGCCCAGTTTGTGCTGCTGACAAAAGCTGTAAGGCTCAAACGCTCTGCCGGTGACGGAGGGAGCTATTACAACAAGTTCCCGTCTCAGTGTCACTGTGTAAATCTCTCCAGCCTGTCACTGATGGAAGGGTCTATGTGACAGGTGTCACCCATAAATCCCATTTAAATACATCCATTACCGCACACTGTATCACTCACAATCACCCATGAAATGTCTCTTTGGAGTCAAGAATCAGACAGGGATGATTTAGGGCTATTTCGCTCGTGCGACGGGATTAGCCGGATCTCGCAGCTATTAAGATGCCGTGCCCAACGCCAGCCCCAGAAGGGACGAGGGACAGCAGGCAGAAAACAGCTCCATTAGCTGGTTTCCAGCTGCCTTTCCCACACGTGGCTGGGGCTGCTTCAAAGTGAGACCTTAAAATGGAGCAGTCCCCAGTTCCTATGGGAATATGCATGAGAGCGCTGCAGGTGCCCGAAGTTTTAGCCCCAAAGGGACCTGCCTCTCACTTTCTGTCATTATTTCCACCTTTGCAAGGGGAGTGCAAACAGCTTCCCCCCGACACACACGCACACGCTCAGGCACGCGTGTGCACAGCCTTTCTGCATGAATGTGAGAGACGAGACACGGACAGAATGAGGCCTTTTGCCAGCCAGCAAGTGGCTTTCCTGGCTTCTGCTCCAAACGGAGCAGGCAGCTTGAGACATGGGCCTGCTCCAACCAGAAAATCGGTGAGGGTGTCTCATTTAATTCAGGATAACATAAGAACGTTTGTTAGCTAAAAAGGACAATTTAGACAGGCAAATACTCATCGGGAGACATCAGTGATAGCTGTTATTTAAGGCTGTGCTGGACAGGAACCATGCTGATATAAGACCCTGGAGAGATATCCCAGATGAGCAACTTTTTTAGATACTGCTGAGTAAAAGCAGAGGAGGAGAGGTGACCACATATCCTGTCTCTGAGCAATGTCTGGCAGGAGCAGGTTCAAAGGAAGAAGAGTTGAGAGCCATCCCAATGCAACCGAGACAGCCAGTGTCTTCCTGGCCTTGATAAGAAGCCTCTGCTCTGAGCACTCTGCTGATCCTCCAGCCCTAACACCAGGAGAACTTCATTTCCCTGTAGCCACTCTTCTCATTATCCACAGAAACATCCAGTCCTTTTTATCATGATGGCCTTGATAACATCTCTGGCACTGAGATAAAATGAGGAGTGTTGGTTTGCAGGAGAGCAACTGGGTCTGAATTAGGACCGCAGGTTCAAGCAGCAGCAAAAGGCATCCAGTGTTGACCCAAGGTTCACGGGTTCAGCTCTGCCTTTATTTACCAGTCAGAAGGAAGAGCCATTGCCATTTCTTTTTGTCCGTGGTGCTAAGGATGAGATGCTGGAAAGGGATCAGGTCTCTCAGCCAGAAGCAGGAGGAGGTGAGAGGGAACGTCAAGCAAGTCCAGGAGGAGAGGCTGTGGGTGATGCCAAGAGCAGGGGCATTGTCACTTTTAATGAGGAGGGTGATTATGTACTGGCAGCTGTTTGCAGATTAGCGACTGAGGACTTGGGCGATCAGGGATAATTATCTCTTTCTGGAATGAGGAGATTTTCTCTTTTCTGGCAGGGAAAGAAGTGCTGGGCAGCTCTGTGCCCAGTGTCCAGATCCTCTGTCCCAGGAGGGGATGCCAGTGGTATCTCTCTCCCCCACCCCCATGGAGGAGGAGTCCTGTCCTCAAACCAGCCCAGAGGACTAGATTACAATCCAGGGATTAAGCCAGTGTCCTAGGTCGTCCTTAGCTCCTTAGCCCAGCACGGAGCCATTCTGGCTTCCAGGCAGCTCCCAGTAGGGTCCCACATTGGGTATTTTCCAGCTGAATAAATTGCTCTGAAGACAGTGTATCAGGATGATCTGCTTTGTAGGTCACACATCTGCAGGAGCTGGTGCAGGGTGAGGATGAACATCAAGCACTTCTGAAACTGCACCCAAAGGCTATTGGTTCATCTCCCTTGATCTACTACATATGAAAAAGTAAGGCATCTCTCTCCAGCTATCAAAAACCTGGTATCAGCAACAGTGGATTTGTCAAGTGATTTACTTTTGGAAAGAAAATATTTAGCTGCAAAAAAAGTGTTTCTCAGAAGAGACGCCGTTCCCTTCAGTTTCACCAGCAAAGCAAACTGAGATAGCAATCATGGCATACTGAGAGCATGTCAACTAGCTTTTATTAAAATCCTAACCTGACTCCACAGGTAGCACGTAACAGTAGAATATGATCTTCCCACCTTAAAAGCTGTGAATGTATTGGTTCATCTATTGCCAGAAAAGAAGTGAATAGAAGGTATTTTTTAATTAGGCTTCCCAAGGAAATGATGGGTACTAGATGATCCATTGTCTTCTGTTTTAATTAAAAGAAGTTAACTTGATTAGCAGGGAATGCCTGGGGTGGTTATCAATTGATTTCCAGTGCTGAGCTGGATTCAGTCCTGTGGTCTGCAGTGTGGAAATGGCCAGTGTTCATGGGACCATTACCTTCAAGTGGCCTCTTTTGTTCATCTCCTCCTGATATGAATGCATAGGTTATACAAAGGTTCTAATGGTCATCTCACCCACTGGGGGGAGAAGAGTCTAGGCCCAATATTAATGTCTTCAAAGAAAAGAATCCTGTAACATCTATTGCCCCAGGAAGTTTAAAATCTTCCTCAGGTTGGCTTGAAAAGGTTTGTGGTGAATCTGGGCTTTCTCCAAGTGGCTTTGCTGCTGGTGCAGGATGAACACAGGAATCTGAGAACAAGGCAGTGTCTATTGGAGCATCATTATGGAAGTACTGCACTTCCACTGCACTGGAAGGCACAGTTCTCAGTGGCTTTAAGTAAAAGCAGGACAGGATGAGGACAGGAGCAGGACAGAAAGCCCTGAGTGGTACCACCAGGGTTTCTCTGTGTGTGGACAAGTGACAGTGGCCAGCCCAGTGACCTGACTCTCTTCTCTCTCTATCAGGCACCAGACATTAATGGTTCTTCTTATTATGATTTTTTTTTTTCCTATAAAAGCATAGGAAGTGCTTGGGATGGGGACCCTGAGAGGATAAGATAGGATAGGATACAATAGGATAGAATGTGGAATGGAATGGAACAGAATGGAATAGTTTGGGTTGGATGGGAGCCTTAAAGGCCATCTAGTCCAACTTCCCTGCAGGGAGCAGGGACATCTTCAACCAGATCAGGTTGTTCAGAGCCTCGTCCAACCTGACCTTGAATGTTTCCAGGGATGGAGCATCTACCACCTCTCTGGGCAACCTGGGCAGTGTCTCACCACCCTTATTTTAAAAAAATTCTTCTTTATATCTAGTCTAAATCTTCCTCCTTTTAGTTTAAAGCCATTACCCCTTGTCCTAGAACAACAGACCCTGCTAAAAAGTTTGTCCCCATCTTTCCTCTAGGTCCCCTTTAAGTAGTAAAAGGGATGGCATTAAAGAATGAATCAGGCAGAACAGAGGTGAGCAGGTGGCTTGGGACAAAGCTGAGCTGGTGGGAGCTTGTCCCTGTGTCCTCATCCCTCCACCTCCCACAAATGCAACCAGTTCACCAGGTCCACCAAGCTCCATGGGCAGCAGTATCGTTCCAGGCATCTGCCTACAAACGAGGTCAAAAATTATTCTGTGGTCCAAAAAAATTAATGTCTCGGAAAAATAAACAGGATTTTCTGAAGTGAGTGGGATAATCATAAACGAGACCCAAACGGTGAGTGTTTCTCTCAGCGCAGCGTGACACCAGCCCGCAGGGATTTCTCCCTTCCATGTGCAGCTGCTGCTGCTCGCTGGCTCTTCTGCACGCTTGCCAGCTCTCCCAAACCTGTGAGGGAGGTGCCAGACTTGGCAGATACGTTTTCCTTACATTTTAAAGGTGTAGGATCAGACTCTGATCCAGGTTGTGGAGTCTCCTGCACATCGCAAAGCCAAAGGGCTCAGCAGATTTTGTTGCCCGGGAATCCAGATCTTGGCTATTTGATGCCAAAGGAATGAGTTGAAGGTGAGAGATGAGCGGTCACCTGAATGAGCTGGCCCTGAAGCAGGCACCCAAGGCATGGTCACATGAGGCACCTTGAAATACCGCCATTTAGCATAAAGTATGATCATAGAATCATAGAATCGTCTGGGTCGGAAGGTCATCTAGTCCAACCCCCCCGCAGTCAGCAGGGACACTCCCAACTAGACCAGGTTGCCCAGGGCCTTGTCGAGCCTCACCTTGAATATCTCCAGGGATGGGGCCTCAACCACCTCCCTGGGCAACCTGTTCCAGTGCTCCACCACCCTCCCTCCAGTTTAAAGCCATTGCCCCTGCAGGCCTTTCTAAACAGGCTCTCCCTAGCCTTCCTGTAGGCCCCCTTCAGGTACTGGAAGGCTGCTATTAGGTCTCCCCGGAGCCTCCTCTTCTCCAGGCTGAGCAACCCCAGCTCCCTCAGCCTGTCCTCATAGCAGAGGTCCTCCAAACCCCCGATCATCTTTGTGGCCCTCCTCTGGACCCACTCCATCAGGTCCATATCCTTCTTATATTGGAGGGCTCCAGACCTGCACACAGTACTCATGATATTTTTGTCATGATATATGACAAAAATCCTAAAGAGCAGGGCTAGAAGGGACCTCACAAAGTTGATCCCAAACAAGATCACCTTCACATATATTCTTTCTGACAGGAGCCAATCTAACCTATTTCTTTTGAAATTCGGTGATAGACACTTGGCAGCCATATCCTCTCCCTCAACCCCCAGTTCCACCGGGTGATCAGCCCCAGAGCTTCACTATCCTCAGAGTCAAAAGCCATTTTTCCTTATACCTTACATACTTTACTCATCCTTCCCATCGTGACTCTTGTCCCCTCCATCACAGACAAGGAGAACTGGTGGTTACTTTCCTCTTTAAAACTCTTCTCCCATTGGAGGACATTTCCCTATATTTTCTCCCTTTATATAGGTTACTCAGCTGCAAGTTTGTTGATAATCAACAGTCCAGAGAACAGGAGAAAATGGCCTAAAAAATAATAGAGAAAAAACACTCAAAGAGTCCCTTCCCTTCTTTGGGACACGTTCCCATGTAGATGACAAGTTGTTAGTGCTGACTGGTAGGCGTAATTGGCAATGCCTAATCAAAATGCTCTTAATTGCAACATTCAAATTATGATTTTATAAAACAATAACATTTTGCTTATCTGAAAGCTAAGTATTTATTATTCTCCAACTGCCAAATATTAGTCAAGTACAAGCACCCCCCTTGGATTGCTCTCAAAAGCATTGGGTGATCCTTCGCTAGCAAGAAGCTAGGAGATATAGGTGCAGAATAAATAATCCCAATTTTTACATCTTTCTTGAAGCTTTTTTTATCCTCCACCCATTTTGGGTTCTCTCATCTGGTCTTTCTCTTAGGTCCCTTCTTTCCTGGACTTCCCTGGACACCGAAAGGACACCTGGGAAAGGACACCAATGCTGAGCCAAGCTGAGGGGTTGTTGTTGCTGCCTCCCAGGTACACTTCTGTTATACATCCCAATATGACCTTCTATATTTGCCTTCTCTGCACTAGCACCCAACTTCACCCACCTTGCAATCTACTATTTCTCCAGATTTTTCCAGATGTTTCTCATTTGGTACAAAATATGTGGTCAATGGGCACTGAAAAAGCAAAACTGTGCTTTCTGCAGTCTGCTACAGAGATTTTTTGGCTCTTCTCCACCCTAAAAGGTCGGGGTGTCAGCTACTATTATCACTGGTCTTTTAGAGCTGATTGATTAGAAAGAGAAACAGCCCCAAACTATTGACAGATGAATGGAAGCTCTGAGCCCGTGTCACTATGAATGGTGAGGGCCAATGTCACAGCCTTATGTTGTTTAAATCCAGACCTAGAAGGGGGCTTTTCCATACAGGTCGGGAAATTTGGACTTTGATATCAAGCAGCCCACCCATGGGACACGTTTGCTCACTGTCCCAGCTCCGTGGGCTGTCCAACTGTGCTGGGACACTCAGAGCAATGGCTGGTCAAGCCAAGAAAGCCAAGAACTGCAATTCCAGTCCCTAACTGGAGAACTTGACTCATTTTCTTCTCTTAGAGCACAACTCAGATCCTTGATGACCCAGAAACACAGCAAGAAGCAGTAAGATCACTACCACTAGGAAGGGGACATTTTCCTTCCTGCAAATACATGGGTCCTGCTGGGAAATATTTTGAGAGGAGGAAATAATTAGCCCACAATGTTATGTATGACAGTGTCTGATTTCAGAGAGGGAAGGTATTGGGAGAAAAAAGAGTTTACATTTGTGACACTGCTCCGGGGGAGTTGGTAAACGCATATGCTTTGCAAATTCTTCTTATTATGTTAAATATGCTCTTAGCCTCTCTGGTGGCTGACAAGAAACGTCCTGTCAGGAAACCATGGATATATTTTCTGCCTATGTAACACACACACATGTAGAAGAAGCTGCTTGTTTGCAGCATTTTCTCTGCATTTTGTTGTATAACTTGTATACTTCAGAGAAGGGATTGTATATCATCTTTTTTCTTCTATCTTCTAGCTACCAGGACATCTACTGACTCTGGGAGATTGGTTCTACAGCCAGTATATACTGAGAAGACATTAACCTCTTGCAAAAGTGACCTAAATTACTATTAATTGTAGTGGCAGGACTAAATAGCTGTCCTCAGTGTGTTTACAACTGTAGAAACAAACAGTTTGTTCTCAAGATAATGACAAACCGCTTATATTTGGTCTACAAAGGGACTGTTTGTTCCCTAAATACCTGCACCAAGAACTGTTTTGTGAAAGAAAAACAAAATATCTTCATGAGCAACCCCCTGCCTATGGCTGTTCTCCCTGAGACGCTGGCTCTGCTCGCCCAGCTCTGGCCAAAGCAAAAAAAAAATATCAGATTTAGCTTTCTGGCAGGGAATGGGAACTCAGGAGCCTGCCCTGGTCAGGTCAGAGATGTAAATATAAAGCCACTTGGCTCCTGGGTGATTTCCAGCATTGCCACAAATTTCTCAAGGGCTGTTAACCACTGAAGCTGGACTGATCCTGGGGTTCAGATGTCTCTGAGATGTTGGCATTGCTTCAGCAGAGGCTAGACAGAAACAACAGCCGTCCTGAGCGATGACGTTCACATGTCAACACTGTTCTAATCTCTGGTGGTTTCTGAAAAATCTTGCAAAGTGAATTGTCCAAATGGGGTGTCCATTGAATCAAGAAATTCATGAAGCCAGACAAAAGAAAAGCTGAGGCCCCACAATCAAACCTTAAACCACATCTTACCTGGAAACTCAACCTCTACCCTGTAGGCGTGAATAAAATTAAGTCTCTAAATTTTTTTAGACCATTCCATGTCTCTTTCAGAAGCCGGTATGATTCCTTGGTTTTGAAGGTAGTTTGTGGCCCAAATGCTGATACATCCTGCCCTGGTGAAAACTCCGATGTGTGTCCGTGTCTTGCCTTTCCTGGATTGTTATCGAACAGAAGAAAACCAGCTTACAGAAAGAATGATTTTCTGGACTGGAGTCCCTTAGGCCTGTAATTCTTAATGCAGACTCAAAACTGAATTCACTGTCAGACATCTATGTGTATCTCTCAGACATGTATCAGAGACTGGGCAATTTATTGCAGCAGCAAAACTACATCTGCTCTGATTAGATGGAATAAAATAATGCCACAGAGATGGAAGTGAGTACTGAAAATCTTTAGCAATGTGGTTTTCAATCTCCTGCTCCCCTCTATGAATACACATGCGGGTATGAACTCCACTGCCTTGTGCATGCAGATGAATCCACTTTCATCTCTCCCAACCTGCGAGACCCCACACGAGGTCAGGTTTTAAATTCTTGCCTGTGTGTGGGGCCAGCTCCACTGCAGAGCTCAGGGATGCCCGCTTCCAAATATCCTTTTTCCCATCCTGAGTGGGTTTGTTGTGTTTTGTTGGCCAATTCCCCATCGGCAGACCCCCGCGTCTACGTTGTATGGAGTCTACGAAGAGCTGGAAGCTGTTCCTTCAGGGTTGGGACTTGGCATTCAGCTGAAATGCCACCACTGGGATGACAGGGAAGTCACAGGCCATGACACGCTGCCACAATGGAAGCTGGTTCTTGGGCACTTGCTGGTCTCCATCATTCCCAGAGTGCCAGAGAGCTGGTACATGAACACACACAGGGCAAAGGGCCAGCGAGCAGGACGTGAAACAGGTTGGGATGTGTGAGAACAGGGTCCTGGCACACACCAGCACAAGCAGGAGTAAAATCTGTGAGATAAATGGCTTCTTTTCCCTGGATCTCACTGCTTCCAGCAAGGCTCTGCGTGTCTCCTGTTACACCCAGAAACAAGACTAGATTCTTCACAGGGATTCACACATGGGATGATACAGGAAGAAGAACACAAGAAATATTATCAATCACCAGGAAAAGCTGCTGAACTCTGTAAATAAACAGCTTCCTCAAAACTCTCCAGTTTACCCCACCAGGCTTCTGGAGATTATTTCTGCCAGAGGTTTTCAGTGCTTTCTTAACATTAATTCTCTTTTGAGAGTGATTCACCTTGAAGAGTGAATATTTCCTCAAGAATCTCGTTCTGATCTGAGTGTTCCCTCTGACCTTATAATCTGCAGCTCTGTTAATGCCTTAATGGTACCTGGTTATCCCGGCACAGCGGGATGGTGCTGGAACGACCTGCCATCCCGGATTATGAGCTCTTCTGGGCTTTCTGGGAAACCCTTGCTGCTGTTTGTAGAACAGTGTGGTTTCTTTCTTCCTTACTGCAAAGTACAGGCTTACAGACCCCTCACTCTTGCCTGTAAAAATAGTATCACTGTCTCATTCAGATCCATCTATTTAGACCTTTTATTTTGTTTATTTTCCTTTTTCTTTATTTTTTTTTCACCCCAAATTGTCTCTTTTGCTCCATTCTGCTGGGCTGTCTATGTTCATCCTTCGTGAGGCTGTTCTTCAAAAACATCGAAAATTTAGTACAAATGACCACCTTTTGCACCCCTACTAACACCTCCTCTACTCACGTGTTCCCAGGCAGGAAGGGCTGAATCTCTTCTTGGTGTTTCTTCTGCTGGGACTGACTTTCCAAAGCAGGCTGCAACAGCTCAGATCACCAGCAGAGCTACTGCAGTATTTAGGTCTCAAGCATGTGACCCTCTAATGACCTGTCAATATGTATTTAGGACCCATCCTTTCATTTCTTGGCTTCTACAAGAATTTTGGGTGCCTTGACTATGAAAACCTTACAAGTTCCTGGCACTTAATAACGCAGCAATGAGTAGGACTAGTTGAGTTTATAATTTCTCTCTCTGAGTTTATCATTTGTTTCCTGAGCCCTGTTTTCCCTGTGATCAAAGGAAGACCTTGGACTAGTTTTTTAACAGCAGTTAAAAAGACCTGCTGGCCTCGCAGACCCACATTTACCCGGCAAACCCAACTCCTCCAGAATTTGCATGTTTTGCCCTCGGTGATTTTAGCTGTTAGCCTTCCTGACACTCAGCAGTGGGAGCCAGAAGCACTTTGTCAGTAACAAAAGAAGGAAAGCACGGGAGAGCTGAAGGTATCACTCCCGGGCTGCGCTGGTTGTGTGCGGTGGTGTGTGGGTGGTGAAAGGCTCTCCAGGGCTTGGTTAGACGCGTTGCACAAGTCCCTGGGACACTGCAGTTGTGTATGTTCAACAGACCATTGTGGTATCCTTGGGATTTTATAACATTTCCACATTGCAGCATTCACACATAGAGTGTAACTGGGAATATCTGTAACGTTCAGATGCAGACACACTTATGGTACAGTGCAAATGCGCATTATAAGGAGAATCTGGAACACTAGATTTTTTTTCGAGTGTTGCAAGAGGAGTGCAGTGACACACAAGCAAAGACACTCACCAGTAATATGCTATTACTATCCTTGAAAATATAAAGATTTTCCATGTGTTTTCCAGGTTATATAAAGCAAACACACATGTCTCCACCTGGTCCTCTCTACTCAAACAATGATCTCTAATGGTGCTTCACCCTGAGAAAGCAGGTGGGATTAAATCTGAAATTTACAGTCAGGTAATGAAATGGGTGTTTCTGACGTTTGTGGAGGAGAAAGCACAGGCCATTCTGCTCTCTCTGCCTCTCAAGCATCTTCAGCTTGAAATTTCCAGTCACTGCCGCATTCTCTGGCAGGCCAGACAGAAGTACAGATAACATAATATGGCACAGTGCATCGTCTACTGGTCAGGAGTAGGAGGAATTGATTTTTGACTAATAAAGAAAATTCATTACCCAGACTGAATGAGTCACAAGGAAATGAAGGCTGCTGTAAAGAGGGAGGATGGACTCATGCACCCTGTTATTTTGGGCTTGCTTGGTTGCAGAAAAGGTCTGTCTATACAGCATCACAATCTGCTCAGCCTTGGCCCGTGTCCTACCACAGCCTTGCAGCTCGGTAACTGCTGTTCAGGATGGAGAGAGGTCTTTGGTGCTGCTAGGACTCAAGTGTGATTTGTTTTCCCCTCAGCAGACTAGCACCCTTTACACATCCCCATCCCTCCGAGAAGCTGAAAGGAGGGTATTACTGGTGCCAGGCTCAGCCAGCACGCAGAGGGTGGGCAAAAGGAGGTGAATGCTTAGGGGTAGAGAGATGCTGGAGAAAAAGCACCTACTGCTCCTCCACTCCAGAGTGAGCTAGACTTTTAGCACGACAGACTGCAGATATCCACTCAGGTAAGTGAGATCAGATCCTGATCCAAAGGGTTGTGATCTAGATTTGGTGCCTGGTGTGGTTTTACTTCCCCAACAGCCTGGCTTGGCTCAGGTCCTGGGTTTGAGAAGAGAAGCAGACTGCCAAGCCAGAGGGTATACAGACCAGTACAGTGCAACGTTGGGGATGTCCAAGAACAAGAGTAATCTGGGGTTTGGTTTGATCAGCACTTCATGCTCTCTGCAGCCCTGCATCTGTAGCAAAGAGCTCTGACCCCTCAGACAACCCTGCAGGGAGGCAGGAGGAGCACAGAGGACATGTGGGAGGGGAGAAGATGCTGCAGTGCGTTCCATGGGCTTGGTGGCTGCAGCACAAGTTTCTGCATTATCCAGGGTAACCTGCAGTGCTGTCTGGAACAGGTCAGGGTTTTTCTCCATACCCACATGTCTGCAGGTGTCCCAGAGCCCAGACATGGGGCAGCAAGGTGATGGACCACACTGGGGAATATCTGCTCCAGCCTGCTTGAGCTGGTGGGGTTTGGCTGCTCAAGGCAGGGGAACTTGGTGTCCCAACAGGGCATGTGTGCTCTCACCTCGCTCCCAGGCAGGAGAAGTTGCCAAAAGGTTGTGGGATTTCTGACCAGAAGCCTCCTTTCCATCATACTGAAGTCTCTCTTCCTTGAAGGCGCTTTCCCTGTCCCTCACTGTTATTCACTTTGGGACTGACAGCATCTTCTGTGGCAGGGAATGGTATCTTCTTAGTTAGAAGCCTCCTTGTTTAGTCTTACAGCTGTCAATTAATCCCACATTTCTGCTATTCAGACTAGCTGGTGGGTAGCAACATTTCCTGCTGGAATGAGAATTTGTTGTGAATAAGAGCTGGAAGGGGAACAGCATTAATATTTGACAGCAGTTAGTGCTGAGGGAGTCTTTGCACTTCACAACCCGAGACCCACAGGGGTTTCTCAAACTAGCAGTAGCTTAACAGCATTTAAACAGGCTTTTGCCACATGCAGCCCAGCTGGGGGCTGCTGCTGGCCCAGACGGGCTTGTGCCATCCACGACTCAGCTGTGCTTCCCTGCTCGGGCTTGTCCTTTAGATCAGAGGTTTTGGGACACAGGAAGAATAAAAGCAGCTGATGAAATACAGCTGCTTCCTTTTTACCCCCTGATCTAAAATTGTGTGATACCGGCCACATCATATCTCAGCATCTGCTGATGTTCCTCCAGTTTGGGGGAGAAATCTGCCCCCTCCCACCCTAGACTTCTGGTTTTGTGGAGTTCAAGAATTGAAGCCATGGCAGCTCTGCTGCCAGCAAAGAGATATTCGAGGTTTCATTCCAAAACAGCTTGTGAATGGGCAGGAACAATGTTTTGTCTTTCTTTTCACATCTCAGCTTGAAATTTCTATGTAATTTTCTGCATTTTCTGATATTTTAAATACTAAGGGTCTGAAACTTGGCTGTGTCTGAAATTTTCCCCGTTCAGCCTGATCACCTGGCTAACAGGTATAATTTTCAAATCCTTGTGCATCTCTGCAGGATTTTATACCAAGATCTGTCCTAGCGGGTTTGTGCAGAAACCTGAAGTGTGAACGTTCATTTTATCAGCTTTTGCATCACTTGGGGTTGTTGTTTGTTGGAAGTGGAAGTTTACTTGGCAACTGTTGGAGATGTAAACTCTTTGCTGCCTTCCTATACGCTGCCATGAAGATACTCTGCAGAACACAGGGAAGGATTTTTGGGGACATAGAACAGGCAATGCCCAGCTTTGGGCAGGGGTGCCTTCATCCTTCTGCAGCTGCATTTGTACCCACCATGCAGATTCCTCCCTGCCACCATCCTGAAGAGCCAGAAGGTCCATGTTCCAACAGACCTTGCTGGGATCCGTGATCTAAGCCCAAGTTCAACCAGTAAATACAGGAAGAAATCTTTGTGGGGAAAACCCAATGCTTTGTTTGGCCCAAAATAGAGTCGTACATTTCAATTTTTATTTCATTCTTTTACAATGTTTTCAATAAAACTGCATTAACTTCAAATCATAAAAGGGGTATGTTTCGTATTTTTCAGAATTTGAAAAAGCTCTCACGAGCATAATGAGTCTGAATGCATTTCGTGTTTTCAGATGCCTGCAATTTTTTCACCCAAATAAGGCTCTCTCTGAAACTGCTCCCCAGTGGTGCTGCTGACACAGTGGTATTAACGTTGAAAGAAAATGCACCAAATGCCCCCGCCTGCTTTATGCACGAGGTGGTTACATCCAGAATACCCAGAGGAATGAAGCAAAACCAGTGCTGAACCTGGACCTAGCAGGTCCTCAAGGCAGCCAAGGTCTGGGTAGGGCGATGCTTGTCCCCAGTCCCTCCACCCCAACCATCTCCACTACTGAAAAATACCCTCTCAATTCTGTTTTGCCAACATGGAAAATGCCCTCCCAGAGGCTGTTGTGGCCGTTATGGAGACGTGGAGCCTCCTGCTGTCTCCCCAGTTGTTTATACCACCCTCATATCCAGGAGATGGGCGGCCCAGGGGGTTGAGGAGGTCCAAGGCAACAGCATGTGTGTGAAGCTGCCACCCTCCTACACCTCCGCTCCTCTTGGCCGAGATAAGAGCACCAGAGGAAAGGCCTTGGGAGACAAGCCACAGGTTTATTTGGTCTTTAAGCCGCAATAGGCTGTTGGCTGCTGTGTGATCTTGGATAAACCCAGGGATGCAGAGAGCCGCAAGTCTGCAAAAGTCACTGCCAGCAGCTGACACAGATGCTTTCTGGCATGACACCAGGGAGCCGTGACACTCATTTGATCATATGTTTATCCACATGTCCCGCACAGACTGATAGTCACAGCGATAGCCTCTGGGCCTGCCCTCACAAATGATGAGCATCTGAATCTCTGTGCCTGCACACAAGGTTTATAAACAGCGGCACGTTTTTCCAAGGCCTTTCTAGATGGTGTAGGACCCTTTCAAATGTTGCTGGGGCTCAAGACATGGAGAATATAGGTCAGATTTTGCCTTTGCTATGCTAGAAGTCATGTCGAGTCTGCAGTTTTTGAATGCCTAGTCCAGATGTGCTCCACAGCATTTCTCCCTGTGTGGCCACATAGTGCTCTCCTCAGATGCTGTCTTCACCTTTGCTTTTAGTATAGTAGTCTACATTTCCCAAGCCCTCATGCTGAGCTCTCTCATTGTCAAGCAGCCACACCATGGTGCTTCTCCAGTCCTGCTACACGAAAACAAGACAGCAGTGATCTTCTGGGTCCAGAAGGACCTGTCCCATCACCCCAAGAGTGGCGGCATCAGCTGCAGTCAGTCTTCTGCCCTATGACTCCATTCTGTGAACTGCTGGTCCCTTCCATTGCTTGGTCCTTCAGCTCTCCCCTTCCTGCCTCTCGCTTAAACCATCCACTCCACACACATCCTTTTGTGAACACAGCTCACGCCCCATACTCCCCACATCCCTAGAGCTGGGGAAACACCACCCAGAAGCGATGTGTGTGTGAAGGACTCGCAGGATGTGCCCAGTGGGAGATGCTCTTTGTGATGGCCAACTGTACCTGCCTGAGGCTGGGGGGTTTCAGGGGGTAGTTTGTATCTGTGCTTTCCATACTGCTGGCATCATGTTCTCCTTGAGTTAATGTGTGCTCTCTCTCTGTATCAATTGCACGGCCAACTTCATTTGCTACCACTTATGAATTATTGCTAGCCCCTGTGGCTGTTGTCAGAGCTTCTCCATGTCTCATGGAGACATTAATTCATACACCACTGTTTGCAGGCTCATAGTCCCTTCCTTACATTCCTTTTCTCCCTGTCTGTCCAGCTTTCAGTTAGCTGCAAATTTGCTCATCCCATCTCCCCTGCTTCATGTCTCCTTTGCTAGTTCTACTCTCAGACTCCATTGAATTTCAAAAGTCTCCATCCCGCTTTGAAAAGGATCCAAGATCTTTCTTTCTCTGCAGTCCAGTGTCCTCAAGTTCTGTTCTCCTCCGCTCTCTCATCCACCTGACCTCAGGGCCTTATCATGCCCCCATTGTCCAGGCTCAAACCAGCCTGGCCTTTCATCACTGGACAGGATTATTCCTTATTCCAAAAGCTTGCTTCCACCAGCCATAAAAAACAGTATATCACCGGCAAACTTGAGATCAAAACTGACAAGCAAGCTTTTTAGATAAGCCTGTTCTGCTGTACGTAATTAACGTGTCTTGTTTTCTTCATTTATATTTTATTTATATGCTTTTATGTATTGTGAGAATCTCCAAGAGGGTTTTCTTTTTATGAATTATGCTTTGTAAAACAGAAGAACTGATGTTGATGAAATAGTTATTATCAGCTAAAGACTGCACTCCCAGACTGTGCCTTCCTTCCAACTGGCAATCTGTCACACTTCAAAATGCACCAGCTCGCCGTGACCGACAGACAGACAGCCAGGCAGCTCCCGGGAAGGAGTCTGCGAGCCAGGAGGAGAAGGATAGAGCAGAGACAGTGATGAAGGTGATTAAAAATAGAGAAAGATTCCTTCACCACAAATCACAGGGAGAAGTTTCAGAGAAGAAAATAGCGAACTTAAAAAGATGTTGCCTAAGGGGGCTTTTACTGATTTTAGACTGTGTTGCTCAGCTCAGTTCGCTCCAGTGAGTGGCTCTACCAGGTTTTTAGGATGGAAGAAATAATTGCCAGTATGGGGGCTGGAGGGAGGATTTTTTTATTTTTAATTTAGTTCCCCTAAAAATCCTTTCTTCATTTAAATCCTGGAAGCAGGAGAGTGTCTGAGGGAGAAGCTGATTGAAAATGAATCATTTAAAACTTAGGTCCCTTTCTTTGTGTTGATGAAGTGTTTGCTGAGCTACTGCCCCAAAGGGAATTTTGCCATTCTTTATGATAAACCCCTGAAAAACATGGGTTTCACTGGGACCACTGAGATGGCAACCAAAGCTTGAGTGCTGGAAGCAGGGCGTAGGAGCACAGAAGCTCTTTTATGTCATTCACCCAAAGAAAATGGGAAACAATTCTCCCAGTCCAGCAGCATCCTTCCTGCTAAATACTTGGATTAATTGGGACAGCCATTATCACCAGGAAAAACCAGCAAGTTACCACCACATTTCAAGAGCGAGGCAATGACAGCGGGGAGGGAGACAACATCTCTCCACCTCGGTACTTGTGAACATAGACCAAGGCTATACCAGGGATGGTGTCTGAAGACCTTGGGGTGGGAGTACACTGGGCAGGCTGGGCTATATCTGCCCTCCACTCATGAAATGCCACACGAACAGCCCAAAGCGCCTGAAGCTGCAGCCCAGCTGCCCCTGACATGTCACAGCAGCCCAGGGCAGGGCGACGGCCAGAGGTCTCTGGAAACACCCCTGGGAAGAAGATGTACGTGCAGTGAGTCAGGCTGAAACGCCCTCATGTTTAGGCACAGTTTTGTTTATCGGATGCCCTTTACCGCACATCTTCCGATGAGGCTCCTCACAAGTGATTCGGATCCTCTGACAAGCTCCTGCAAGAACCTGCTATCAAGATCACTGGCTTGAATAATGCTCTAAATGTCACTGCTGGGGCAGGAAACCCAGCCATTTTGATACTCTTGCTTCTGTCCTGATGATTCATGTTGACATTTACATGACAAAACGGAGGTGGGGAAGCTGCTGAACTTGTCTTAGTGCCTGTGGAGAGCTTCGCTGTAACGTGATTCAAACCAGAGGAGCCCCCAAAACTGCCAGAAAATACCCACAAAAAGCCAGAAGAGCTCGAGGAGGCTGTGGAGAACTACACCCCCTCCCATCTCCATCGAGGATGAGTTTCACGCTCATCCTGGATTTAGGGAAGGATGGTCAGGACAGGTACCCAGTCTCCTGGACTGTGAACACCCCTGTGGCCAAGCAGTTAACAAGGTGTGAAAGATCATACAAGGAGATTCAGCATCTGGGATATCATTTGGCCTTTTAGGATGTTTTTCACTGAAGATTTCTGGAACGTACATGAAGGCAGGTTGTAATGCTACTGGACAGAGGTATCTTCAAGAGAGAGGGGCAGGGAGGTTAACTCATCAGTTGGAAACCCGGAGGTTAGGTGTTGCTAGGAAATAGCCCATTCTTTACCGTTCTCATTACATAAAGTTTCCATTGTAAAATAAATGATTTTCCATCCCCACCAGTGCTCACATGCTCACGGAAAGATCTGCAGGTCATGTTGTACCCTTTCTAAGAATGGTGAAGCAGAGGCACGAACCCCCTGTTTACAGGTTGTGTTAGGGCCTGGGGAGGAACAGGGCACTGGAGATTCCTGCCTCAAAGCTCATGGTCTCATTCTCAAAGCCCAGCCCTTGCCCACGGTGCCAACACTGGCTGCAGTGCTGTTTTGAGGACGTTGCCAACAGCACACTGTTCGTTTGCCTTCTTGCATGTTGGGAAGGAGTAGTTTTTGTGATACTTTTTTTGGTTTTTTCTGTGAGAAAGGTTATTCCCATCTAATTTACTGGCCAATTTACTGGATTCTGGGTGAAATTCTGTGCTGCATGGCTCAGGAAGCATAAATACACAAGGGGGCATTTCACGTTGCACATGTTGTATGTAAGCTGGAAACCAGACCCCAGAAATTTTTCAAAACTTGACTGGATGTGGCCCTGAGCAACCTCACCTTTCTTTGAGGTGGGTCCTGCCCTGAGTTGGAAGTGGGACTGGAGACTTCCAGAGGGCCTTTCCAAACTACATTATTCTCAAAGATCTGTTGAGGTGACCCATTGGAAGTGGGACTGGAGACTTCCAGAGGGCTTTTCCAAACTACATTATTCTCAAAGATCTATTGAGGTGACCCAAATGGTGGGTCAGGCAGACAAAGGGATTCTGGTTGGTTCCAAATATCTTTTAGGGAACGCTGTTGAAAATTGGTGGATTTTCTACCCATGACCCTGTGAGACAGAGCTCCTGTGACCATTTAATAACAGCTCCTGTTGGGCAATTTCTGATCATTGTCTTTCCAATGAATTATTGGTAATGTTCCTAGGCAAAAAATACCCTGGACCCTGTGAGACAG